AATATTAGCAAACCAAATTCAGTAATACATTAAAAGAATTATTCCCCATAATCGAGTGGGATTTATTCTGGGGATATAAGGATGTTTTAGTATTTGCAAATCAGTCACATGATGATAAACCACATTAACAACAACAGAAAGAACAAAATTCATATGATCATCTCAATAGATATAGAAAAAGCATTTGGCAAAAGGAACATCCATTCATGATAAAAACTCTCAAAACAGTGGGCTTAGAGGAAACACACTTCAACAGAATAAAGGCCACATAGGACAAATCCACAAATAACATCATACTCAATGGAAAGCTTCTCCTCTAAAATCAGATACAAGACAAGGATGTCCACGCTCATTACTTTTATTTAACACAGTACTGGAAGTCTTTGACACAGTAATCAGACAAGAAAAAGAAATAAAAGTCATCCCAAGTAGTAAGGAAAGAAAACAAGTGTCGTCGCTTTTTGTAGATGACATGATACGATACATAGACAACCCTAAAGGGGGGTTCCTGGGTAGCTCAGTTGGTTAAGCATACACAACCCTAAAGACTCCACCAAAAAAGTTCAGATGTAATAAATGAATTCAGTAAAGCTGCAAAATACAAAATTAATGCACAAAAATCAGTTTCATTTCTATATACTAATTAAAAAGAATCAGAAAGAAAAATTAAGAAAACAATCCCATTTATAACTGCACCAAAAAGAATACTATACCTAGGAATAAACTCAGCCAAGGAGGTGAAAGACCTGTACTCCAAAATCTATAAAACACTGAAGAAAGAAAGTGAAGATGGGGCACCTGGGTGGCTCAGTCAGTTGAGCATCTGATTTCTGCTCAGGTTATGATCTCATAGCTCATGAGTTCAGCTCCATGTTGGGCTCTGTACTGACAGCTCAGAGATTCTGTGTCTGTCTCTCTCTGCCCCTCCTCTGCTTGCACTTCATCTCTCTCTTTCAAAAATAAATAAACATTAAGATATTTTAAAAAAAGAAACTGAAGACACAAGCAAATAGAAAAATATACCATGCTCATGGATTGATAGAATATTGTTAAAATGCCCATAGTACCCAAAGCAATATACAGATACAGTGAAATGTCTATCAAATACCAGTAGCATTTTTCACAGAACTAGAACAAATAATCCTAAAATTTGTATAGAACCAAAAAAGACCCCAAATAACAAAAGCAACCTTGAGAAAGAACAAAGTTGGAGCTATCACAATTCCAAATATCAAGGTATACTACTAAACTATAATGATTAAAACAGTATGGTACTAGTACAAAAACAGACACGTAGATCTAAAGAAAGGTTAAGAAGCCTAGATGTAAACCTAAACTTAAAAGGTCAATTAATCCACAGCAAAAGAGGAAAGAATATACAGTGAGGTAAAAACAGTATTTTCAATAAATGGTGCTGGGAAAACTGGATAGTTACATGCAAAAAATAAAAAAAGAAAGAAAGAAATTGGACCACCTTCTTACACACATACACAAAAATAAACTCAAAATGTATTAAAGACCTAAATCTAAGACCTGAAACCATATAACTCCTAGAAAAAAGCATAGGCAATAATTTCTCTGACATTTGGTCATGGCAACATTTTTTAAGATACGTCTCCTAAGGCAAGGGAAACAAAAGCAAAAATAATCTATTGAGACTGCACCAAAATAAAAAGCTTTTATGTAGCAAAGGCACTGATCAACTGAGTGAAAAGACAACTTGCTGAATGGGAGAAAATATTTCCAAATGATATATCTGAAAAGGGATTCATATCCAAACATATAAAGAACTTATACAACTCAATATCAAAAAATAGTAATAATCCAAGTTAAAAATAGAAGAGGACCTGAATAGAAATTTCTCCAAAGACGACATACAGATGGCCAACAGACACATGAAAAAATGCTGATCACTCATCATCAGGGAAATGCAAATCAAAACCACAAGGAGATATCACCTCACACCTATCAGATGGCTAGAATCAAAAAGGCAAGAAATAACAAGTATTGGCAAATGTGGGGAAAAAAGGAATCCTCTTACACTGTGGTAGTAATGCAAACTGGTAAAGCCACTCTGGAAAACAGAGTGGCTCCTCAAAAAACAGAGGTTCCTCAAAAAATTAAAAAATAGAAATACCATATGATCCAGTATTTACCCAAAAAAGCAAAACCACTAACTTGAAAAGATTCATGTGCCCTAGGTTTATTGTAGCATGATTTACAATAGCCAAATTATGGAAGCAACCCAAATGTCATTGGTAGATGAACGTATAAAGGAGATATGGTCTATGTACACACACACACACACACACACACACACACACACACGCACGCACAAAATGGTATATTACTCAGCCATAAAAAAGAATGAGATCTTGCCATTTGCAACAACATGGCTCGACCTAAAGGGTATTATGTTAAGTGAAATAAGTCAGACAAATACCATCTGATTTTAATTATACATGAAATCTAAAAATCAAAACTAAGTGAACAAACAAACAAAAGCAGAAACAGACCCATAAATACAGAAAACAAACAGGTGGCTGCCAGAGGGGAGAGCAGTGGAGATGGGCAAGATGGGTGAAGGCAGTGGAGATACAGGCTTCCCATTATGAAAGGAGTCAGTCACGGGGTTGAAAGGTGCAGTGCAGGGAACAGAAGGGATGGTAGGTAGTAGTGTTGTGTGGTGACAGCCGGTAGCTAGGTGAGCACAGCATAAGGTACCGACGTATCAAATCACTATGCCGTATACCTGGAGCTAATGCTTCAGGGAGATAAACACTGTGTGTCAACCATTCTTCAATAAAAAAAATAAAAGACCAAATATAAATTTTAAAAGTAATATAAAAAAATAAAGATTTTCAAAACAAAAGTTCAAACAAACATGAACAAGTGACAGAAGTGAATTTATTAAACTACTTTTGTTCCTGAGCCTGTGAGATGAAGGAATGCATCTATTATCCTGTACTTTGTCTTCCCTCGTGACCACTTGTTTTATTAATATCCATGACAGTGACACCACATGACATTCACCACCTGTGTGGCACTAATCCTCCGATGCACACAATAACACTGGGAGGTAAGTCACACAGGTGCTGTTCCCCCGTTTTATGGGCGCCTTCAAGCGAGAGGCTTCCTGAGAACCAAAGGGACGAAGCTCCCACCCAGGATGCATGTCTCCAACCCCGTGTTCTCCGACAGCCCCCGTTCGCGAGGTAGGGTGATCATCAGGTAGAGCCAGGCAAGGTCAGATGTCTGAAATATTAACTTCCATAGCAGGCAAATGAGGAAGCGAAACCTGTGATCAGACAGGGTGACGTATTATTATGATAATAGGTAATCAACATGTACTGGGCACTTTTTTTTTTTTTAATGCAGGCTCAATACCAAGTAAGAGATAAGTAGGTACCAAGTGAAGAGGAGTTATCTTTCCCTCACAAGAGATCCAAGGGAGGGTAGGAAGTCGGTAGCCAATATCCTAGTGTGGCCGTCTAACGTAGGGGTGTGCACAGACTGGAGGAACAGGGCATAAATACCAGTGCATGTGTCATAAGTATCAGTTGAATAAACTTCACAAGGTGCTTGCTTTTTTTCTCCTGTTCCCCAAAGACAAAGGTTAATGGCCCTGCTGCAATTAGGAGGAAGATACGAACGCAGCGAAACAAACATAAATGCAGCCACAGGGTCACCAGCTCTCTGTGAAGTCACAGTCACAGGAGGCAATGCATTGCGACAGGTAGGAAAAGCTGTAAGAGGTGCAGGACAGTCACTACAACCATAGCTCTGGGAGCCAGATGTCTGGTGTCCGTTCCACAACTCACGTGCATGTGAGACGACCCTGACAAGTTCTGTCCCCGCAAATCGACTGCTCTACCTGACATGTGGTTCCTTCCCATCTGGGAAGCCTCATTTTTTTCTGAGACAAACCAGAAAGCATCAGTAAGGAAATCAAAGTTTCTACCACTTCCTTATACCAGACTTTCATGGAATCTGTGTAATTTTAAACTTCTTTCACCGTTGCCATATAAGGAGAGCATCACTGTTTCTCTTCCTCGGTTGAATTCGCTGCTCATGTTTGGCCTGAAGATTGGGATGCCCCGTGCACCCTACAAGCTATCGCTGCTTCTTTTCAATTTGTTACTTGTTTATCAGGACTGTTCCTATCGTGTGGAAATCGGTTTCACTACAGTAGGCCTTCTTGGCCTCATATGAGGCATAAGGTAATGAGTGGCCAGCTTTAAATTGACGCCTTAGGGGCGCCTGGGTGGCACAGTCAGTTAAGCATCCGGCTTCAGCTCAGGCCATGATCACACGGTTTGTGGGTTCGAGCCCCGCGTCCGGCTCTCTGCTGACAGCTCAGAGCCTGGAGCCTGCTTCGGATTCTGTCTCTCTCTCTCTCTGACTCTCCCCTGCTCATGCTGTCTCGCTCTCTCTCAGAAATAGATAAAAAACATTAAAAAATTAAAAAATAATTTAAAAAAAGAGCAGGAATGAAGACACTTTAAGCCGTCCTGACATTATTCACATCAGCAGACAGTGTGGGGAGAAAGCTGTACAGTGAGAGCAAGAACTGGGGTCTGAAGCTGAAGCACAAGAAGGGGAACCTTCCACTTCGATGGCTTCCAATCAAACCCTGAGTAGCTCACAAACAAACAACTTCTTGGGTTCTTCACCTCCTACCTAGTGGATGTTGACTCACATTATAAAACAACTGTTGGCCCACCCCACACCCTCTGCTTGAGAGGCGCTTGTTGCCATTTTCACGAGCAAAAAAAACGCACTGGCAAAGTGGTGGCAAAGCTACTTCAACAACATTAGCTCTCTGTTCTGAATGTGACCAATGCTCTCCGTTTTATTGCCAGAGTTGTCCAACATCCATCTGTATAATTAATTAAATAAAATGCAAGCTGGGCAGACTATTTTACGTGACATTAACCCAGAGTAGAACATGATGATGTAGTAGCACTGGAAAGTTTAAAACAATATTTTCACACACCAACCTTTTGGCCTTTCCCTCTTTTCTTTGATTCCTCGTGAAGTCTGGTGAGGTCCTGACAGCCTTCCAATGAGCCACCTAACACTTCATGCCTTGCTGGTCCATTTTTAACACCTGGAACCCAAGAGGATTTGAAGATTAGTTAGAACTTCACACGGACTGAATACTAATGCAACTTAAGCAAGCTAAAAATTTGAATATTAACTTATGCACACTGGTAACACGAAAGTACTAGTCCTCTTAAATAAACACTGCATACATCTTGGTCTATAAAGGTCTATTTAGAATTTTCAGTTTATTCCATTGCAATCGCTAAGCTGAATTCACTTAACTCAAAGGTCAGAAATAATTTCGCCGTCAGGTGACTATGCACCAGTTCTACGGTATCCTATCATCCAGCAGGTAATGCAAGACGACGTATGTCCACACCTGATGCACTATTCAAACTTCAAACTTGCAGACTTTTACAAACTCAAAGAAAGTAGTTCTATATTAGAGGAAATAAGTATCCTTAGCTTTAGGGTCAGATATACTCTAGAAAACAGTCTATAGTACAGCACAAAGCTTTAGGTTTCCATCTGCAAATGATAGATGATTCTATTCCCCACAAATGTCCACCTTAGACCAGCATCTTGCCATGAAGATACATAAACCAAAAAGATAGTCATCAAGTGAAATTTGTTGCATTAGATGCCAAATAGTGTAGAAATCCTACACAATGCACAATGAAGTGTGAAATGTCTACTTGGAATTGCTACAACTTTATATGGTGTTCCTCATCTCTTTCCTCCCAATAAAGTTTGCCTACTATGTGACTTAGCTGGTATTTGGAAGAAAGACAAAGGAAAACCAGCTATCACTTCTACGGTCTCAACAGGATGATATGTATAAAAGGTGGATAGCAGTCTGGGGAACGCTCATGTCCCAGCCACAGCCAGGTGACAATGAGTCATCCCACACAACCCACCATCACCATCATCCAACTTATCAGTCATCGATGCTTGGATCAACAACGCCTGATACTCAGGGTACCCACTGGAGGCACACAAACACTGATCCTACTCTTGGGGAGCTTACAACCCAACAGACAACGGTGATGTCAAAAGCGAGTATGAGGCAAAAATAACCTACATGCCGGAAGAAATGAAAAATCATATAACATGAGAATGACTGCTTTGTGACTATTTCAAATAAAATAAAAGGCTCTAATAAAACAGATAAGGTTAATTGTGGAGGGTCCGATTTTAAAGTTTTAACCATCTTTCAAAAATGGGATTCGAGCTAAGTGAAAACAAATGCATGATGGTTAAATATTTTCTTGAATTCAAACTCATTACTGTTTTTGCAACTTGTACCCTAAAAATGTTTTAAGGTCAGGTTCTGATCCACCTTATGCTAAACCCTAATACTAAATCCCTTTTGGAGACAACACCAATCGCATGCTGACCCCACTATCTCCTCCATGATCTTCTATATTTGAGATTTATTCCACCTGTTTCCTGGCAAGCTAAAGACAGACTTTACCTGAGGAGATGGGTTAGTGGGCCACGTATTGTGCAGTTTATAGTTTGCTCTAAGATCCACCTAAGTTTCTTTTACTCATTTTGAAGGTGAGAGTATCTATCTATCTACCTACCTACCTACGTATGTATGTATCTATCTATATGTATGTAATGCTATCTAAGCATTACTTTCCAAGACACTCAACAACCACTTTTTGAGAATTTCTAATGCCTAGGGGAGGACATGGATTACATCCATGTATTTTTAAGATCTAAGATTACAAGTATTAGAATAGAATATTAACGGTATTGACCATTCATTTTTTAAAAAGTCTAAATGTTTACTCAACGCACTAGTATATAGAAATAAGAAAAGCAGAGGACTGCAGATATAATTTGAAGCCAATGCACCCTGTTGTTGCACCATGAGTAAGTCTGCTGCTTGCTAGTGTTTCTATGTCAAAAAAAGACTCTCTTACAGCCACATGCCTCAGTTCCAGCCAAGAAACACATACTGTGAAGCATTTTGTAAACAAAGATCTAAAAACATGTATCATGACCTTTTAAAACTTAAGACTGATATTGCTAATGATATATTTTCATTTTCACACATCACATAACCACAAAATGATACAAGTACAGATCTTTCTCTCCTTCAGATGGGATTACGTCCTGATAAATGAATTACAAGTTGAAAAACTTGGAAGTCGAAATGCACTTCACGCACCTAACCTACTGAACATCATAGCTTAGCCCACTCTTAGCCTAACCAGGCTCAGAACACTTTTAAGAGGCTAGAGCTAGGCAGTATGACCTAACACACAGCAAGTGATATGTTGACTCTTGCATGCAGTTTAATGAATACAGTACTGGAAGTGACAAAGAGAATGGTTGTCAGTGTGACGGTTATTGACCATCATGACTCCATGGCCACCTGGGAGCTACGCTCACAGTTCACTGCTCAGCATCACAAAGGCATGCAGAGTTCCATACTGCATATCCAAGCCGTATACCACGTACGGACAGCCCCAGGCGCAATGCAACTTCAAAGCTCTAAGTACAGTTTCTACTGAATGTGTGTTGCTTTCACACGGTATCAAAGTCAGATTATTAAGTGAATCATCATGAGTTGGGAACGGCCTGTCTGTGAGTTCTTAGGTGGTTATGTAAAAGAGCATTTTCACAAGCTCAGCTAGGCAAGCTGTTACTATGTTTTCTTTAAAGATGTTTCTGAAAAACCACAAGCAGCTAAAAGTGCAAATTGCAAAGCTGGTAGGAGAGAGTGGCCAGTTATTAATCCTTTCCACAGCTCACCAACACACTTCCTCTCCACTTTCCTGCTCCCCCCACCCCTGCTCCATGGCTCCTGCCATTTGCTCCAAAGCTGCAGTTTCTCAAGGAGGTCATCAGCTCTCCTCTCTCCCCCGAGCGTGGTCCGAACAGGCCCCACAGTCACCCACTACTCAAAGGTCCTAACTCCATGCCTCTTGCCAGGAGGCTTAATACACCCAACTGCCTCACAGATCCCTATCTTAAATGGGAGATTTCAGAGAGACTTCAATCAACACACCCCTGGGCCCTATTTGACTGTTTTATCAGTTTATCAAGGTTGTAAATCCTAGACTCTCTCCTCCTTGTCACCTCAACTTCATGACACAAGTGATTCACTTAGCTTTCAAAAAGTGATCAGAGAGAAGAGACCCTCACAGCCCCAGAACTTTTACTGTTAAGTTATACTGCCCGGGATTTCATCAGTTAGAAATCTGTTTGGGTTGGGGTGTCTGGGTGGCTCAGTGGGTTAAGTGTCTGACTCTTGGTTTCAGCTCAGATCATGATCTCACAGCTGTTGAGTTCGAGCCCCACATCGAGTTCTGCACCGACAGCATGGAGCCTGCTTCAGATTCTCTCTGACCCTCCCCTGCTCATGCTCTGTCCCTCAGAAAATAAAAATTAAAAAACATGAAAAAAAAAAGTTTCAGTTAACAGTATCATCAAAATACATCAAGGAAGGTCAGAAAGTGAACTCATTCACTTCTCCTTGTGGATGAGTTAAGTCACTGCCTCCACTACGCCTAACAGCGATGATCAGGATTAAGAGGTGATTTTCATACCAAGTGAAAATAATATTACCACTTTGGAGGCAGAACCAGGCCAAGGCAACCTAAGGTCATATGTAACCTAAGTGCCAGGAAAAGGAAAGAGATGAAGACATGGATGTTGAGAAAACCACTGAATTCCCGAAGGGAACCTGGCGCACGTCAATGCTGTGTGCAGGACAGAGGCATAGTACGAAACGCACTCTTACTTCCAACATCTATCCTCCTGTATTTTACTTTCCTGCTTCCACGACACAAGACTAATACTAGTACCAGCAATACAGCTAGACACTCACTCTGCAAGATCAACTACATCAAAGATGAAAAGGCTTCTGAAGCCTTTTCTGATTCTGATTCAAGAATCCATATAGTTAACATGTAAAAGCATACCCCAAATCTGAACAATATCCCACCAGGAAATTCCTTCTGAGTCTCTAAAATCTAAATAGTCATTTAAGAACAGCCTAGAATGCAAAATCTTAAGACTGTGGAAAGAGCCTTCAAAGATACCTAGGAAAAATCCTTGCCATATAGAGTTTTGGGATTTGGGACACATGTGAATTATTCATGTGTTCTATACAAACACAGCTCAGCTAACTAAAGAATCTGTATCTTTTTTTGTCTAATAAAATATCAAGTTCGCTTTATAAATACAAAAGTAAATCTAATCATGAGTATCAAACGATGTGGGATCTTTTCCTTTAAAATCACTGTAGAGATCATTAAAATTTATTTTAACATGCAAACTAGTGTTAATACCATATAACCTTTCCCACTGGGAGTAATTTCTCCATCTTTCTAATTCCCTGATATCTGCATATGGATTATCTTGACTGTATCTTCCCTACTTGTCTTAGTTCCTTAAGGAAAAGGGATAGTTTCACATCAACCTTATCTCCCTGCCCCCCCCCCCCGCCCCGTGTTTATCCCAATACGTGAGACACAGTAGGTGAAGGGCAATCATAATAATGAATAGACGAACAAATCAAACAAATAATCAACAGGTTGTAGCCCCTTCCTTACAGCCAGCCTTTCTGTTCGGGCTGAGTGACCCACACTGAGCTGCTAGGGGTGCTTACCTTCAGGGAGTGTACTAGCAGGTTCTGGGAGAGAAGGTTCAGAGAAACAGTCTTCTAAAAACATTGGTGTATTACCTGAATTGTCAAAAGGTGCAATCATTACTCTTCAATCTAAAATACTGAAGGGGCATCTAGGCGGCTCAGTTGGTTGAGTGTCTGACTCTTGGTTTCAGCTCAGGTCATGATCTCGCAGTTCGAGGGTTCAAGTCCTGTGTTGGGCTCTGTTTCTCTCCCTGTCTCTCTGCCCTTTCCCTTCCCCCATTCTCTCCCTCCTTCCAATGTCTCAAAACAAATAAACTTCAAATTAAATATTCGAGAAATACATGTTTATGTATACCTATGTATTTGATACAGTAGTACTTAACAATTTCTCTTGAAGAAATAATCAGAATATGCAAAATATTGAATAAGAATATCTAAATGCCTAGGATTTGATG